ACGGTTAAATAAATTGTTGCCCCCAGTGGCACAGCGGTATGTCTGCGGACTTACAACTCTAGAAACCGGGTTTGGATACCCGTTGTGGGCAGAACACAGATAGCCCATTGTGTAGCTTTGTGCTTAATTACAAATAAACAAAAGTAAATTGTTTTTTAAATTATATTTTCAAAATATTCTACTTAAAAAGAAGAAACACTAGTATAAAAGGAACTTCAGGTGTTCCTATTTATCTATTTCACCATTCAGAATTATTGTTCATCAACATTTCCATTCAGATGCATTGTTCATCAACGGCTCAAACACAATCAGGTTAAACATATGCATGCCACTTACGTTGCTATTATTGAAGTCATAGTCCAGCTTGTACTGAAGGCGGCCTAGTTTGATTTCGGACTTGGCACTCTCCTCATCTCCTTCATTTTTCTCCATGTTATCCTGCAAACCTTCCATGTCTGGCTGAACCTAATAATAATCGAGAATAAATTTTCTCAGTTTCGCTTCATCTGAAAATACTATTCCTAAAATTTCTATAATAAACACATTAACCCTAGAATGATCAATAGGTTTCAGATAATCGGGTTTTTAAATACATTTCTCTGAATTATTTATGCACTATACTCTTCATTTACAGAACGGTCCTTAACAATATAAAAGAGTAAATAAGAAAGCTATAATATTGAAAATAATCCTATTAAGTATTGTTGGGTTCCCCCTACATATTTCACCCAGTGTTTTTGAGCATTTCTTTACACTGACTATTTTAACAGACACAAAATTACTCAATAGGATATAACATTTGGAGTTGGTTTCCAATTTCGCGCAAAGCTACGCGAGGGCTATCTGCGCTGGCCATTCCTAATTTAGCAGTGAAAGACTAGAGGAAAGGCAGCTAGTCATCACTACCCACCGCCAACTTTCGGGCTACTCTTTTACCATCGAATAGTGGGACTGACCGTCACATTATAACGCCCCCACGGCTGAAAGGGCAAGCATGTTTGGTGGGACGGGGATTCGATCCCACGACCCGCAGATTATGAATCGAGAGCCCTAACCACCTAGCCATGCCAAGCCCAGATCCCACAGAGAGAAAAAGATATAAAATTAAGTTGATAATTTGAGGGTTAATTCTAATCTAGCAAAGTAAAGATTCTTTAAATGCTTTATAAGAAGATTGATAAAGGCCTTATTATTTTGTTTTATTGAGCAGTGACTTGTCAAATTTATAGACCCGGTAGTTTCTTGAGGAAAATTAATTGAAAAACAAACAAAACCCGGGACCAGGACTTTTTTTTTTAACTTATGAGTTTTTGTTTTACTTAAATATTTAATGTCAACTAATGCGAATTACAGTCTTATGAAAACAATAAATTAATGTAAACTAATTTATTTTCGACGGACAAATAACCAGTGTTACCTTTTCTTTGTAAGAACTGCCTAATAACTGTACACCTTTCAAGTCAACAGCCCCTTTTATTCCCTTCTTTCCGTCCTTTCGGCGACGTTTGCACCACCTTTTGAGACAACAGCAGCAGATACACAAAAACAAGAAGCACACTCCAGTCGCAATAAGGATGAGAACGTATGCTGATACTGTAATACATGAATAGTTCGATAGATTATTTGATGTCTTTGGATCGGATTTATAGAAATTGTGACATGTTTTGTGCAGGAAATGTTTTTAGGTTATATCACACACACACACATACATACGTATATATTATAAATCGTTGTACTCTCGGCACCAGCTATTGATAACAACTTTTGCAGAAGAGATAATGTGCCTAAATTCTGGACACATAAAAAAAAAAAGTCAAAGATGCTGTATAGAAAAGCGAGAAGATACAGAGATGTAAGTTTTATGATTGAAGTTCTGCTTGTTTGTTACTACTTTGTGTTAGCGCGTAGTCCCTCAGGGTTAAAACGAAACAGTGAATAAGTTCAATTAGTGATTTATATAAAATTATTTTCTGCTGAGCTATGAAAAACCCATATTTATGTTTTAACGCAAAGGTGCACAACGGGGTTATCTTCGCTGTGCCTAGCGTAGGAATCAAACCCCGAGTTTTAGAGTTATAAGCCTTCAAGTTAACCAAAAAGGTTGGCAAGTCGTATAAAAACGATAAAACCATTCCGCTTCAACAGGTGGGCCTTCTTTCTGCTTTTACTCCTGAAGTAACTATATCTACCTGTATAAAGCGCTATGGTACCGTGTTCTATCTGACGATCGAGCTTCTTAACAATAGCAGATGGCTCTGTTGTCAGGTTGTCATGTACAATGCATATCATTCACCCTTGCACATATTTCATAATCCATCTAGTATGCAAAGAATGGTTTCCTAGCGCTCGTTTCAACAGTCCGATTGCTCAGAAACCTGTAGATGCTATGTTTGGTGTTGACCGATATGTCATGGATATCTGTTTCATTCTCCAGTTGCTTGAGATATGCGACTGTTGAACGGGAGAGGAGAAGGATATTATTGAAGGCTTGGTGAGTTCATACCCTCTTGTCCTCGTTACCAGACAGAGATCCTTCTTGCTTATGTTGCTTACTGTTGCCTGGGCCACGTGGAAGTCTTTTACTACTGACATTTGTGTTAGTGGATTCTCACCCGTTATAAGATGCTTTGTTTACCGCAGTGTGACTAGTATTTTTATGGATGGCACTACTTTCCCAATTAGATCTATATTCTTCGTTTTCCAAAAGCCGTTACGTACATGGGATATCTCTGTCTTGGAAGTTCTAAATCCCCGATCTGAATGCAAATTGATGAGCCGAGTGTGTGAATCTTTTGCGTCGGGAAGGGCTGTTACATAATCTTCCCAAAAGTGATCAATTTTCGATGGCATGATACTACCTACGTAACGACAAACAATGTCAAAATGTAGTTCTGATACATTCAATTCCACTGTGACTTTATATCGGCTGAGGATGTCACGCGACTTGCTGAATTTTACATATCCAAAACTGTTTTAATGAAACATACTCAACCCTGTACAAGACACGAGCAACGTACGGGCCCATTTAAAAGCATTTCTCGAAGTAGCCAATTGGTTTACATATAATTTTGATAACCTTGTTCAGCAAAAAAATCATACAGGAATATGAACTGTATTAGAGCAACATAACTAAAAAATATGGTCTAACTGATATCGCTTACAATGAAAACGAGGCTTTCGTGAAGATAAGACAATTCTGAACCGCATATTTCGGAAATATACTTACAGTGCGTTTTTTCCATAAGTTCGTGAAGTATCTTCTCCCCTATGTTTTCTTCAGGAGCTGAAGTGGTTACATTTCCAGCAGAACCACTGTCAACATCTGGTGCCAGACCAGCTGTGCCTATTCTCGTATCCATGGTTGGGACTTGCGGTGCCAGCGGTGATGGAGCTTTGGATTCTGGAGGGCCAGATTTTCTTAGCCGGTAGAGCAGTTCGTCTAATGTGGCTAACTGTGGCATTTTGGGACCAAGTTCACCTTATCTGTAAGGCAGAAATAGCGGAGATAATAAAAAAAAAGTACTAACAGCGTCAAGAAGGTTAATTTATTTTTTAAATCCCGGTATTAACTGTTTATACTTTTGAACCTTTGATTGTTTGTTTGTTTATTTTTGAATTTCGCGCAAATCTACACGAAAGCTATTTGCGCTAGCCGTCCCTAATTTAGCAGTGTAAGACTAGAGGGAATGCAGCTAGTCATCACCACCCACCGCCAACTCTTGGGCTACTGTTTTATCAACGAATATTGGGATTGACCGTCACATTATAGCGCCCCCACGGCTAAAAGGGCGAGCTTATTGAGAGTCGAGCGCCCTAACCACCTGGCCATGTCGGGCCTCAACTTTTGAGTAATCGAAATTTCTATTTTACAAGCACTGGAGATAATGTGCCATAATACAGTATAAACACTGTAGTACTGAATGTATTAAGTATAAACTATGTTTATTGAGACTGGAAATACAATCAGGATCAGCCACTACGTTCAAAAAACTAAATTAGTTATAATTTAAGAGGCTTCTTGGTGGTTGCTGAAGAGAAATGATGCAGGGTAATTATCTTAACCGCTGACAAAATAGTGACAGACTGCCTTAAAACTTGTTTGTTTCTTGTTATGCACAAAGTTACACAATGGACAATTTGAGCTCTGCCCACCGCGGGTATCGGAACCCGATGTTTTAGCGTTATAAGCCTTCAGACGTACTGGTAAATCATAATGGGGGCTATCTTAAAATATTGCAAGAGATAAACAAAGTATCATCTAATAACATTCTATCTGGTAAATTGAAAGACACACACACACATATTTTAGCGAAAAATATTTCATTTGAATTTTTTGAAGATTGTATGTAAGATTTTCACACATTATTTTATACAAACCAATTCGAAATGTAAGATTTTCATGCATTGAATTATTCAAACCAATTCGAAATGTAACATCTTCACACATTGAATTATTCAAACCAATTCGAAATGTAACATCTTCACACATTGAATTATTCAAACCAATTCGAAATGTAACATCTTCACACATTGAATTATTCAAACCAATTCGAAATGTAACATCTTCACACATTGAATTATTCAAACCAATTCGAAATGTAAAATTTTCACACATTGAATTATTCAAACCAATTCGAAATGTAACACCTTCACACAATGAATTATTCAAACCAATTCGAAATGTAACATCTTCACACATTGAATTATTCAAACCAATTCGAAATGTAACATTTTCACACATTGAATTATTCAAACCAATTCGAAATGTAACATTTTCACACATTGAATTATTCAAACCAATTCGAAATGTAACATTTCCACACACTGAATTATTCAAACCAATTCGAAATGTAACATTTTCACACATTGAATTATTTAAACCAATTCGAAATGTAACATTTTCACACATTGAATTATTCAAACCAATTCGAAATGTAAATTTTTCACACATTGAATTATTCAAACCAATTCGAAATGTAAATTTTTCACACATTGAATTATTCAAACCAATTCGAAATGTAAGATTTTCCCACACTGAATTATTTAAACCAATTCGAAATGTAAGATTTTCACACATTGAATTATTTAAACCAGTTCAAATGAAATATTCTCAGATTCACTGACCGTTAAAGAAATTGAAACGAAACTATAATGTGTCATATCGAACATATTTTGTTGTGGACTATTCATAATATTTTGATCTGTGGTATTATCTGGTTGTGAAATCTTATTATTAACACGAGTATTTTTTTGCCATCATAGACACTTAGAGAATTAACTATATTGTAATTAAGATCAAAGACTCTCAAGTTTATTATATTTGGTACGCAACGCCGTCTGGTGGTAAAAAAAAAGAAAAAAATCCCCAACATTCAATCTAATAATGACAGATTCCTATTTATCATATCTGGATCTAGAGAAGTTATTTTCTTTAAAGCTTTGACTATATTTGTGTTCTAAACATTTTTCTCAGTGGCTTATATACAAATCTTGATTGGAACAATTTTCAGACAGTGGAAATATTATTTATGATTTTAACTTTATACACAAGTGCCAAAAATACTATAATTATGAAATTAGTTTGTTTTATATGTGCCGAATGTCCAAAACTCTGATATATCTCACATCTTTGCAGCTTATATCGGTCTATATACACAGTTATTATCGTAACCATTTCACAGACAGACACACTAACATGATATCAATATCTTATACATAATTCTCATGTCTACGTTAATAATAACACTAACATGATGTCAATATCTTATACATAATTCTCATGTGTACGTTAATAATAACACTAACATGATATCAATATCTTATACATAATTCTCATGTCTACGTTAATAATAACACTAACATGATATCAATATCTTATACATAATTCTCATGTCTACGTTGATAATAACACTAACATGATATCAATATCTTATACATAATTCTCATGTCTACGTTGATAATAACACTAACATGATATCAATATCTTATACATAATTCTCATGTCTACGTTAATAATAAATGATTAGATGGTATTCATTTTTCATGACGTCATTCTTTTCTTATTGCATGTTACCAAAACTCACTCCTGGTTTATTAAAGAAAATAATATCTACTGAAAAGCCCCCCAGTGGCACAGCGGTATGTTTGCGGACTTACAACGCTAGAATCCGGGTTTCGATACCCGTGGTGGGCAGAGCACAGATAGCCCAAGTGTAGCTTTGTGCTTGATTACAAACAAACAAAACACATTCACGAAAATATTAAACCCGTGGTGGGCAGAGCACAGATAGCCCATTGTGTAGCTCTGTGCTTAATTACAAACAAACAAATCTACCGAAAAGTATAAAAATGAGATGGTATGCATTATTTTCTGAAAAGGAGTTTTAATTTTTAATATAACAAATTTTTTTTTTCATAAGTTAGGTGTCCCGCTTTAATCTGTCACATTTGTAATACGACAGTAGTGCTGTTTATAATGTTTTTGTTTCGGCAATTTAAATTTAATATAGACAAAGCTTTACTTTTCCGCTTTTTGTTTATCGAAAAATCATATTATTATTATTTGGTGCATGTAGGCAACTGTGTTTTATCCGTAAAAAAATACTACAAAATTTGCGTCTCATTGTTCTTGTTAGGTAAACATAAAAATAACTCGAATGTAACAAATATTCTGCCTATCTTTACACCAGCTTTGTTACTGAAACACTGCGTAACTAAAATAGTATTCTTAACATTATTTTTTGTTGTTGTTGTCATTGAATGTGGCGAAAAGCTTGATATCCGGCATGCCAAAACGTGATATTGATTTTAACTGAGAAATGTGTTGTGTTGTATCCGTTGCTAATGCCACGTCGTCATGGTTACAGACTGGTACCCGTGACGTCTTGAAGAAAACTCTTTAATTTGGTACATAAATATGCAGACAAATGTATCTCCTTTCGATCATATCCTAAGGTTTACATGACTTGATTCTGAATGAATGTTTCAAGTTTTACTAATGACAGGTGATTGAATAAATTCCGTTTCGTGGTATTAGAGAAACATAGAAGAAAATCTGAAAAAGATATAGCTGGTTTTATATATGTGCACTTAAACAGTATTTTATAGAGCAACCAGAGGCCTTCTACTGAAACACTTTTTTACAATTCTGTATCATTATTATGGAACTATTTGCGTTTCTTAAATACTTGGTGGTTCTAAAGTCAGTTAGGATATTTGGAAAAGTATGTAGGAGGAACCATGTTATCTATGAGCAAAATATTTTGCGTACGTGCATATTATATGCATATATTCATAACATTAAGTTCTGAAAAATTATTAAAACAATAAATGGAACTTAATTGGAATTCGTTTAGGCTGCTGTTTACTGTGAAAATGGAAAATTATTAATGATTTATATATCAACAGGAGATCTCTGTGTCTTGACTGAGCCCTCTGGCGACCATCCGAGTTCCTAACATTTTGAAAATCACTGATATAATATATCACATGCAAAACGTCTAAGTATGACTTTACATATAAATTACCAGCACTTCGTAGTATGACTTTACATATAAATTACCAGCACTTCGTAGTATGACTTTACATATAAATTACCAACACTTCATAGCATGACTTTACATATAAATTACCAGCACTTCATAGTATGACTTTACATA